CTTCTTGTTCTTCTCTGCATTGCCCTTCTCTTGTTAACGTTTCCACTTGTAACAGTCCTCCTCTTTGTGCTCAATCTTCTCATTGTTCTTGCAGTAGTTGTTCAAGCATTGAGGAATTATTGTTTATGCTCTTTTCGTTGTGCGTTTAAGAACTGTATCAGATCATCCATGGAAATCTCCCCTTGCCTGGCTTGGCATCTGGTCTGGACACCATCACCTTCCATCTTGACTAATATCTCACTGCTAGGCTATCCTACTTCTGACCAGTGTTACGACCCTCCTTTATGCCACTTACCAGCTTCCACCGCTGGTTACCAGCGGCCAGGGTCGTATAAACAGAAGCAGTAGATAGATAACAAGAGTCGTCGAATTACTACTGGCTGTCCCACCAAAGTCTCCGATAATTTCCCGACGATCGGTATGACTGTACAGAAAAACAAGAGGCAGGTAGACTTCCACTGGGGCCCAGAAACACACTTGCGAAATTTAGTCTCATTTAAAACTCACTTAATCTTCACAACACCGTTCACAGGGTATGTTCTTACCACTGGACTTCTCACTTTGAATCTATACTGTCAGCACACTACCAGGGTACAATTTCTTGGTCTGTTCACTTTATCTCACTTATAACAATTCAACAGTACTTTCACCATGGGTGGAGGCAGCATGCCGGGCGCTCCCTGAAGCCAATTCTTCCCCTCATAAGCCATCTTTGTATAGGCTGGTCATGCGCCAGGAGGCTGAGTGACCCTCATTGACACTGTTTACATAGCATCCCTGTGTGATTAAGTGAAGCTATTATTTTATTTTCAACCATTTATTATATACTATAGTACAATAAAATTTCATTTCAATGAACAACACTAATCATTAGCATCAATTGTCCTTATCATGGCACAAGCCTGGTACCCTGAGCACAGGAGGATTTCTGTGCATTTTTACCTTGCAGACTGATCATTAGATTCCTCTGAACAACATTAACTTATTCATGCTGGTTCTACTTTTGACAGCTTTGAGAGATACGTTTCGTGCTGTGAACTGTTTGCCTGCATATGTGTATCTCACCTGTAGATAGGTCTCAGCTACTGATTTGATTAGCAATACAAGTTGATTGTTGAGAGGATCACTTTCTGACATGTGTATTGCCAAGCCTGGGAATATAGTTTTGTTCAGGCACTCTGACAATACATAAATTACAATTTTGTGGCAATCATATGTTTAAAGTCTTGCAAAGGGGTGTATTTTCTTGCAAGCAATATTTTTTCTCTGAATATATTTTCGCATGAGCAACATATAGCAATGACATCTTTAGTTGGAAATGATAGATTCCCTTTGGCTTTTATAGTGATTAATGCACGAGTTTCATGAACATTTTGGGCAAATAGTACACTACGGCATGCTTCACACTTCAAAGATTTCTTAAGTTTCAGAGACAAAACCAGCTATAAATGCAACTATTTTCTCAGCACAAGGAGAGACCACACTAGACGAAACTAAGTTAGTGTTTCCCTCTTCTGAGAGCACAACAGACTCCTTATATTGATAAATGTTATCTTGCTCAAAGGCCCTGCTTATATCAAGAGAAGAGTTAATTAATTTGCTCAAGGGAGCATTGACATTAAGATCCTTTAGATAATTACTAAAGGCAGTTGGGATTGGGATAGATTCCAAAGCTAAGCAATTTCCACGGGTCACTTCTTCAGTGTCATTGCGAGTTAACACCTTCTTGTAGGCTGCTGAGAATTGTCGAGCCGTGGGATCGTTGTTGCACCCTCCCATACTCCTAATTTTGCCAAAATATAGTTATATGTGATCCTGACTAATCTTGTAAGTTAAAAAGTAATCCAAAAGTGGTTTTTAAGTAACAATTAGCAATTTGCTAATTGTTTGCAGACTTTTGCAACAAACAAGGAATCCAATTAATCCTGTTTTTCTTCTGAATTGAACAATACAGTAGGCAACTTTTCAGGCAGATACTGTTGTACACTTTCAATGAACTTCATTACCTCTGAATTATCATCTGCTTGCAAAGGGCGCTTCCAGCCGTAACTACACAAGTTCCGATAATTCATGATGTCAAACAGTGCATTGAGTGTACGTATGAATTTTATTGTTCCTTGGCAACCATGAAACCCGGGTATCTTCTCATCCAAACAAAACTGGAGGGAGTTGGCAACAGTCACTAAGTAACTGCACGGCCAATTTTACATTCATTTTTCTTCACGTATGCAATATGTAAAGCTCTTAACTTGTTTCCGAGATGCAGACTTCTTTTTCCTGTAACTGGTGGAGACTGACAATGAATTGCCACTCAGTTGTATTTCCTTCTGCATAAAAAAATTTACCTAGATCGCCAAGAGAATTTCTTAACAACTTGAACATATGACATGGATCAAGAAAAATGCACACTGGCTTGCCTGTAGCAGGAGGATCATATTTTATATTTTCAGGATTCAAGCTGCAACCAAGATTTTTCATCATAGCCAAATTAGGAGCTGCAGCATCAAAAGTTAGAGATACAATATTCACTCCAACTGAATGAAATTTGTTCAAAGCCAGCAAAACTAAATTACTGCATTCATTACCACAAAGTCCATTAATAAAGAAATATCCAATTGGTAATTAAAAAGTAGGCTTGTGTGACATTACCATAAGCGTGAGAGCTTCTTTAACTACAGCCAAGCAATCATCATATACTTCATATAGTTCAGTCCCCATGTCGATAAACCCGTGATATATTTTGCCATCCCATTCAACATGTTGACTAATAGCCATTTCATCCATCACCAAAGAAAAAATATTACCAGAAGTTCGTCTATGGATTTCTCGACCTTCTGCTCGAGTGCACTGAATGATGCCTCGGTAAATCTGGGTTTCACTTCTACTGTATTGTACCAATTTTCCAGCGTTCGTGGATGAGGCAGACAAGTAACAAAAGTTTTTCTTATGAATTTATACGATTGTGGAGAGTAAAGGTTCAAAGTAAGAGCAAAACTTCTCAAAGCTGGGGCATATTGAGCATGTACTGGCTTGACGCTATTCTTAGCAATCTGTCTTTTCACTAGGTCAGTCACTCCACCAGCACAGGATTCTACAATAGTCAGATTGTCTTCAGTCACTAGGTTTTTTTATTTTAATACACTAATCACAGAACACAAGTCGACATTTCTCTTTTTCGGTTGTCGTGTTTTCTGTTGCAAAATTTTCTCCAAGACTTCACAAGTTATTCCTCTAATTTCCTCTTCATCACTTTCGATGGAGAATTTGTAAAATTCGCTTCTCGGTGATTTTGTGCTGCCAAACTATATTCCCAGGCTTGGCAATACACATGTCAGAAAGTGATCGTCTCAACAATCATCTTGTATTGCTACTCAAAGCAGTAGCTCATACCTATCTACAGGTGAGCTACACATATGTAGGCAAACAGTTCACAGCACGAAACGTATCTCACAAAGCTGTCAAAAGTAGAACCAGCATGAATAAGTTAATGTTGTTCAGAGGAATCTAATGATCAGTCTGCAAGGTAAAAATGCACAGAAATCCCCCTGTGCCATGATAAGGATAATTGATGCCAATGATTAGTGTTGTTCATTGAAATGTAGCTTTATTGTACTATAGTATATAATAAATGGTTGAAAATAAAATAATAGCTTTACTTAATCACACAGGGATGCTATGTAAACAGTGTCAATGAGGGTCACTCAGCCTCCTGGCGCACGACCAGCCTATACAAAGATGGAGCGCCCGGCATGCCACCTTCACCTTTTATACCACCATGACTTGCGCAACAATTATCTTCAACTGTCACTTGGCTTGTACTGTACTTCACACTGAGCTGAAACAGTCGACTTCTTTCCCTAGGTAGCGCTCTGGTGCTAATATACTTCTGCTTAGGACGCCCAGAACATCTTAGCACCATCCAGGCATTACAGGTCGGAAGGAGATATGCCTGGGGCGTTCTAGAACGTCCTACTCTGATCGAGGTTTACAGTACGTAACTAAATCATAAAAAAATTATGCAAAACATTCTAGAAAATGCTTACATAACTAATACATCAATATATACAAGGAAATCTCACAAAACTTGCCAAATAACTGCTGCTTGGAATAGAAAATAATGAGAATACCTAGTTCACAAAAATTATAAAACTAACTTTTTCTTTATTTCAAACCTTTTTCCACTCAGTACCTGAAAGTTAATGTTTTCACGCAGTTGTATCTTTACATACATTAACTTCAGCATTAGACTGATCCAGAACTGGGTATCCTTAACATAGATATATGGATTTATTTGCGATATATCAATATTAATCGAACATTATTTATGAGGTAATGAACTGCAAGGACTACGAAAGGGGCGGGGCTTGTTAGCCTACTACCCTCCCCCCCCCCAGCTAAAAATAATTATTGGTTAGGGCGTGAGTCATCACAGCTAAGGTTCAAGGCCTCTTGGTGTCAGTAATCACAACACACTAGGTGTAAGGTCTAATATTATTAATAATAAAACACGAGGGGTAAAGCCTCCTATTGCTAGTAAACACAGCACATGCACTCGGTGTAGGGCTTCCTTGTGTTAGTAAACACAACACACTAGGCGTAAGGCCTCCTAGTGTCAGTAATAATAAAACACTAGGGGTAAGGTCTCCGAGAGAAAGAGAGAGAGAAAGAGGGGGGGGGGGAGCAAGCAAACATCTTGAGCAGCTGTTACCTCTAACACTGTAACTTCTTGGGACCGCCATTCCTAATTCTCTTGTTTGGGCACAAAATTTGGCTCCCCACAGTAATCTTTATTAGCAGTTGGTAACGTAATATCAAATTTGGCGAGATTGATAACCTATTCTTATTAAAATTTTACGTGAGAATTAAATGCCGTGCTGGTGTTTAAAGCATATAGAGTGATGGTTCACTGTTTCGTCTGTTATTTATGGATAATGATTATTATTACTTTATAAACATGGTTGATTAAGTTTCATGCCTGGCTGAACACACTCATTACTTACTTGGTGGTAGTAGAGTCTATTTCCCCAACGAAGAGCAGGTTAGCTATTTCCTCATCTATTGGGTATGGGAAGCTTGCAGATGATTCAGGAAGACCAAAGTTAGCTGCTGATGGGAACTGTGCTGAGTTGGCCCCTACAGGCTGAGGGAAGATGCTGCTGGATGAGGGTGGGAACTGGCCTCTTGAAGCAGAAGGGAACTGTATCGGTTGTGAACCAAATGGATTAATCCCGGAATCAGAGAAAGATGATAAAAAGGAGGGGAAGTTATTAGCGGTACTACCAGCAGCAGGTCTGTTAGCTTGAGAAGCTCCAGACGAACCAGTGAAATATGAATTGGAAGATCCGCTAAATCCGGTGCCTGGAGAACCAAAAGTACCGCCAGGCGATGCACCTAATGAAGAACCTGAAGATCCACCAAATATTCCACCAGAAGAAGAACTGAAATCGAGACCTGGAGCTCCACCGAAAATTCCACTTGCTCTGCCGAATATTGGTTCTCCTGATGGGTTGAACTCTTGACCTGTCAGTGCACTGAAGTCAATACCTGATGATCCACCGAACGTGGGGCCCGAGGACCCACCGAACGAGAACGCCGATGACTGGTCTCTACCGCCTAAATTTGATGAACTTTGTGATGATTGTGAGGACTTGATGCCTCCCCCTTTGGAGACACCTCTGTTCGCTCCGCCTTTACGGCCCCCTTCAGATCCAGGCCTGGAACTTCCGAAGCCAGCGCTCCCGCTGAACTGAAAGGCTTGAATCTCGTCATCAGTCTCACTCCGCTCCGTGGTAGCTGCCTCCAAGAAAGAGTCCGGACCTCCCCCGAGACCAGGAAAAGCGCCAGAAGCTCTTGAACTGCCAAAGCTCCTGGAACCTCCCTTTCTAGATCTGAAGGGCTGGCCTGATCTGAAGGAACCAGTTGAAGAAGGAGCCGAGAATCCTGGGAAGCTTCCGAATGAGGAGGAGGATCTGTGAAAACAAGAGAACAAAACATACTGTATTTCATTTCTTTGCTGGCATTGAAGCAAAGTACTTTAATAACCTTTAATTATCAAAAGTGAAGAAGGAATTATTATATCACTTCAAAAATTATTTATATTTGAAAATAGCACAGCACAAATGACATGACCATGGAAGCAGAAACGTAAGACATCACTGGCCGTTGCCCTTGTGGACATCCGGAAGGCCTTTGACCTTGTTGATCACTGCACTGTTATCAACAAGGCTATTGCACTTGGGCTGCCCACCAACCTGGTATCATGGCTCACTGATTTCTTCAGTGCACGTCGCCAGGCAGTGAGGTATCAGGGCTTGGTCTCCACATTCCAACACCTCACCTGCGGTGTTCCCCAGGGGACCAAGATGGGACCACTGTGCTTCCTCATTCTGATCAACGACGCTCTATCGGACACTCCTCACAGGTGGAAGTACGTGGATGACTGCACTGTGGGGGTTTCAGTGGACAACACCGCACCAGACTACTCATCGCTACAAGGCACCCTAGACAGGCTACAGGCATGGACCACGGAGAACAAGGTCACCATCAACCACACCAAAACCGTAGTCATGCACATCAACACCGCCACCACTCCAGTGCAAGCCCCAGCAGTCACAGTGGGTGCCCATCCTCTCCAGCTGGTGCAGTCTGCCAAACTCCTGGGTGTAACCATAGACAACAAACTTGACTGGAAGGCCCATGTAAATAACACAGTCAAGGCATCCTCGTATCGTCTCTACATGCTACGACGACTTAGGTCACTTGGGACACCCACGCCAGAGTTGAGGACCATCTACAACGCCTTTATTCTCCCCAAACTAACGTATGCGTCACCAGCCTGGTCGTCTTCTCTCAACTCCACCCAACAACGTCAGCTAGAGAAGGTACAGAAAAGGGCCTGGAGAATCATGCTCGGCGCAGAATACTCCGGCTACACCAACGCTCTCTCCACCCTGGAAATGCCATCCCTCAGTGACCTCCACCACCAAGCACTGGAAAGGTTTGGCAGTGGACTACTGCACCACCCTCGTCATCGCCACCTCCTGCCACCTGCAGCCCCCCACCCAACTCGCGCAGTCCGCCACTACAACAAAATTCAGCCCATAAGAGCCCGCACCGATAGATATAAGAACAGCACCATCCCATCTATTGTTAAAATAATAAACAACTCCTGATTTATGTACTGTACAGCCCTGTAAATGTATTCAATGCATATTATATCATTATGTCTAAATCAAATGTAAGTCTGTATATTTTCAGCCACCAGCTGCAACTCTATTAATAAACCGTTCATTATTATTATTATTATTATTATTATTATTATTATTATTATTATTATTATTATATGTGACTACGAGTCACACGCACTTGCGCACTGTAAGGTAACTGGCTCTCTCTCTCCCATCAGAAAGCGACGACGTTCTAGTAACCCAGAAATGGCATTACAAATATCATTCACAAAGGGCACACATGAAGTTATAATGGGCAGTTGTTGTTAATACACGAAACATATAATATAAAGCAAATGCATTTCTCCTCGTTACTCTACTATAATATAATTTAATGGAAGAAAGGATTTTTGCTGCTTGAAATTATCAATTAGTACTTGAAGTGATTTCCTGGTGCATTTCTGCTACACTAAGGTGAGCCTGAGAGCAACAATAATGGACTAACATTATCACTGTTTGCTTGCTTTAAATTAATACACATCCAGTATTTAAACTTTAGTAAACCCACCCAGCGATAATTTCCAAAGTACATATTTTTTCATTTATATTCAAATAATTGAATGGAAAATGCAGTCTACTACGTCAGAAGAAAGTAATATAATTTAAATTGCTGCGTGTAGTCTATAAAAATTTTCAGGTTACACTAATGTGATATATCTGTAGCTTCCGCGTTGAGAGTAACTGAATTGAATTGACACAATTTATTAAGCGAGAAAAAGACAGATACAGAGTGGATAATAATACAAATTTTAACATGGCTGAGCCAGTTGAGAACCTGAGCTCTCCTGTAGGCACCTGATATATACTATACATTTATCTCAAGGAAGTATTATGTAACATTTAGTAACATCTGGAATAGTACAATAGCATGGTGGTAATAAGAACATCTCATAATGTTACCACGGTTATCACTTCAATATTTATTTATTTTATTTTTATTAGTATTATTTTTTTTATTAAAAGTATATACATAAATTAGAGTGGAATTGAAAAACATAAATATATTGGGGAAGCAGTACAACATGAGTTGTACAGTAATAAGGTTGTGTTCTGACCTCACTAGGGGAAAGGTCACGGCAGCTTAGCTCCGCTCCTGGGGATAATTACCAGATATGGCTAGTGCTACTTGTAAACGGGGTTATGCCCATCTGTGGACCGAGTTACAGAATACCAAGGAAAAAAACCTGAAATTAGAGCAAGGAATCTTGAAATTAAAGGAAGAGATAGCAAAGATGAAGGAAGAAACGAGACAGGGAAAGCCGGTGAATGACGAATGGAAGGTTGAGAGGAGAGGGACTACCAAGCTGGTGGTTAAGAAACACACCTAGGATACAACAACGGCAACAACAGCTAAGTGTACCAACTCGTTCAGTCCCTTGATAGACGAAATGGACGTTAGTACAGTCAGGGACAGGGCTGCCAAGGAAGGTATAAATACTTTAATTGTTGGTGACCCACAGGTAAGGTACTTGGACAGAGCCTTTTGTGGTAAAAACAAAAATAGGATGAGGGTGTGTTTGCCAGGAGCTGGGGTGGGGGATATAGTTGACGGAATGGACAATACCTTGTCTGGTAATGGGAACAAACCCATTATCTGCCTCAGTGCAGGAGGCAACGATATTGGCCTGTGTAGGAGTGAAGAGCTTCTTGATAAGTTCAAGACAGCTATAGATCGTATTAGGACTAAGGGAGGGATCCCTATCATATGTGGTGTCCTGCCTAGAAGGAGAGTTAGCAATGAATGGTTGTCAAGGGCAGTTGGTGTCAACGGCCGTCTTGACGGATATTGCAAGTCAATATCAGTCCCATTCATTGACAACTGGGACAACTTCTACGGCAGAAGGGACCTTTATGCTAGGGATGGGGTGCACCTGTCTCGGGAGGGGGTGGCAACCCTGGCTGGGTCTCTAGAGGGGGCAGTTCAAAAGATATCGAAGTCTTTAAACTGCTAGGGGAACATGAGGGCACGGGGGTGGAGGAGACTGCAGTGGGAGCTGGTAAACAAAGTGAAAGATTACAGGGAAATAGTGTTAGGAATAACGACAAAACTAAAGCAGACAGGGAGTTTAAACCTAAACGCGGTAAAGGGAGGACTCAGAACACGACTAACTTAAATGTCTACTACGCGAACAGTAGAAGTATGAAAAACAAAATGGATGATATTACGGCCTTGGTATGTACCGAAAAAATCGACATAACTGTGGGTTATGTATCTAAGCTATTGTGCTGAGTAGCAACCTTGTATATAAGCTACTGTGCCGAGTAGCATCTATGTATATAATTACGTGGCAACACTGCACGTGTTATGTGGCAACATTGCCTCGAGGCTGCCATATGGCAAGGCAGTTTCAGTCTGACTCCGTGGGTCGTGCATGGCACACGCTAGTCACTACTTGTATTTCTCCTATCCGTTAATAAATGGACTTCAGTGTTACCCTGTGTTTCCCTACCCATCACTGCCTTCTTCAGGGAACACTTGGAACCTTCATGGCGCAGTGAGTAGGATCTGTGGACTTACAAGTGTGTGAACAATGGACAGTTAGCCGGCGATGTGCGTGTCGATGTGCGTGTCGATTCTGTTGTGTTGTGTTGCGTTGTGTTTCGCCGCGACGTGCAGTGTTGCGCCGTCACAGTGCGTTTTAGTGACGGTGGCAGTGTTAGTGTCAATGCATTAGTGTATCTACAGGGGAGAGTTGAGCATTGGCCTCTTTTTTGTGGTACCCACGGAGCACGCAGGCGTACACCCTTCTCGTGTGACATCTGGGGAGACACTAACGTTCTCGCCTCCACAGCGGCTACAGCCACCAAGGCCACCACGATCTGCTCTCTCAGACACACACACACACACACACACGCATGCACGCACGCACTCACGGACAGAACAGTGGACTCTATGCGTTATTTCTGCGCTGTTTACGTCATATATATGTGGTTTGAGCTGATGAGGCGCCACTTTATATACTAAACAGCGCAGTTCAAGCATACTAAGATGGGCGGTAAGAAGGGACAACGTCAAAATGGGAGACATGACTCCCCACCACCTTCCCCTCCACCGGGTGCAGACTCTCATCCTCCACCTCCAGCGACGGACATTGCCACAATTTTGAGGTGGATGGACGACAGGGACGAGAGACGCAGAGAAATGGAGCTTCAGAGGGAGGAGATACGAAGAGAGGAGGAAAAGGCGTGCTTTGATTCATTATTGGCGACCCTGGCGCTAACCCACCCTCCCTCACTCGCAGGTATCGCGCACCAAGGCGCCAGTACCCTTCCTCCCCCACCACACCAGCGTCCTCCAGGTACTCTCGCTTCTCCAACAGCTCCCAAGGCATATGTTCAACCCCCACCAGCCCTCTCACCAGACGTCACGTTTCAGCTTTATCGTGAGTGGAGGCGGCGGTGGATAGATTACTCCACGATGGTAGACCTTGATAGCATGCCTCCAAACAAACAGCTCATCCAACTGCGGATGTGTTTGTCGCTGGAGACCCAGAGAGTTTTGGAGCACACGTTGCAAGTGCCTCCCGATTCTACGTCTTCAGTGACGGATGTTCTCGACCTTTTACAGGAGCACGTTAAAGGTCGGAATAACGAGGCCTTGTGTCACCGCGCCTTCACCAGTTGCAAGCAGGGCGGAGAATGAATCCTTTGACGACTTTTTTGTACGTTTGAAGAGTTTGTCGGAGGAGATCGACGTCTGCAAGGCGCACAGCCGGGAATGTGAGGTAGCCTGGATCAAGCAT